GTCACAGACAATGAGACTTTATTTTTAAATTAACCGTGGAAAAAAAAAAAAAATTGGCCAAGAAACATAGGTGGTTTTTCAAGCTACCAAAATAACAGAAAAAGTAATCTCAAGAAATGGAAAATGCCTAATGCTTTTAAGGCACTTGTATAAATTGTCTCACTTTCTTGGAAAATTAAGAAAATTAAAAAGAACAAAGCTGATTGATTCTGTCACTGGCCACATCACAGACTTCACTGGAGTTATTTAAAAGACAGAATACAGAAGAGAACTAAAATTTCTAGAGCATTAGGAACCTTCAAGTTGCAGGGCAGACAACTGAATCTGCCTTTCATCAGGCATAGTGTTCTATGCTTTTTGGTCAGTAACACTTGCAATTTCACTTGGGAACACAGCCTTCTCAAATTTAAGACACATTCACTATTATCACAGAAGGACTATCATCTGTCCATACTTTGGACAGTTGTCTCACTGCACACACATGATGTTGCCAAGATTTCGGTCCAATTTAAACTGGAGAAGAAAGTATACAATGTAAATTAGTACCGTGCTTTTCTATATATGTAATGCGTTCAAAGCACAGATATCTAATATATACCATTTCATTGATTAAATATAGCAAATATCCTAATCCTTACCAAATTGTATTCACGAATCACTTCTGCTATGTCTGCATTGGTGTTAAGTAGATCCACAACCTGAAAATAGACAGAATTCCAACTTGTAAGATTTCTCATTTATTAAAAAGACAACAATAATTACACACAAAAAAAAAAATATTCAGAAAAATCATAAAGCATTTGTGAAAATACAGTATTTAACTATTAATGCAAACAGAAAAACATTTGAATTTTAAATCTGAACAGATTACATGCAGTTCATAGAAGTAATTATCATTTAATATGGCTGTACAAACTCAAATATTATACAGCACACATTTCTTAACTGCATATGCAACAGCTTATCCTAACACATACTAAAACTTGTTTTGTTCTCTTTAGCTTTTACCTTTTCCTCTTCTGGTAACTGAATAAACTCATCATTATTTACCACTACACTTTTAAGGAGAAACAGCAGTGAAAAAAGAAGTTGAAGCAAAGAAAAATCAGTAGCAAATAAAGGAAAGAAGGGCTAAGTGTGTTTTCAGTGTCAAAAGCTGAATGTAGCATACCATGTTGTAGTCTTCTAGCTGACCTTGCCACTCTTTGATTTCACCAGCTAAAGCCTCTGCCCTGAATGCAAAACAAGAAGCCAAACTTAAAACAGGAAGTGTTACATAATAAAAATGAAATAATAAAAAAGATTAATTTAATGGTTCTTTGAAGCCTGCACAGTAGCCTGGTGACTGAGAAAGTTAACTTCACATTAGTTACCACAGAGCTCACCTTCTCTCATATGACAAATAAGCAGATTTCTCTTGCTTGTACATTTTTATTTCTTCCTGCAGCTTGTTAATTTCTGATGTGAGTTCACTGGTTTTGCTTCTGCAAAAAATAAAATTAAATTACATTTAAATACACAATTAAAACAGTGAAAAATAAGATTTTACTCCATGCGTCGCGGAAAAACTATCTTTCTCACACAGTACCATGTCTCCAATGAACTATTTCTAAGAAAAGCTAGATAAATAAAGAAAAATTAAAGCAGCTCTGCCAGATAAAGTCATAAGCAAATATTAGAAAACCTGGCTATGAAATTTAATGTTTTCATTATTTTTTTGTTCTGGTTGAAACAGTCATGAATGTTTCTGAAATGCACCAACAAAATCATAGCATCCTTTCACAGAATATGGATATTATCCATATGAAAAAAACCAACACTGCCTTTCAGGGCTGATCATGCAATCCTGTAATATAATCTGCTGACAAAGCAGTGTTTGTATCAGTGCCACCTAAAAGTACAAGCTAGAAGTATACACTAAAATGTGTGATTCTACCTCTTACAACTGAAGCTAACTGAAGACCCATTAAATTACATTAAATGACACAGGGTGGAAGCTCAAAAATCACTGATGCTTCTGTAACAAATGCTGTGGGAAATAAATGAACTTAGCTAGCCTACAAACAAAATGTCGAAGAAATGTTCTACTTGGATGCAAGCATAACTTTCCTCTCCTGCTACAAACTACCAGCAAAATGACTTTCATGTCTCAGACAGGACAGATTTTATTATCAGTTAACACCAGTTATCCCACACTACTGTTAAGCATAACGGATGGGAAAAGAGGGAACAGAGCTTTACACCTTTTGCACTCTGAGTTTAAGGCATACCTCAGCAGTCCAAGATAATAAGTTCTATCCATTATCTGTCTCTGAGGACCTGGCAAAGGAGAATAAAATGACATTTCACTATACAATAACTCATTCTGATTTAATAATTTGCAGATTTTACACACAGAGAACTATCATCTTCTCAGTGTTCTTGAATAGATTTTACTTCACTAAAACAAATGAAAGCAGAAATTCCTTTCAGAATGTTGTGTAGATACAAAATACTTTTTCAGCTATGTTAAACACTTTATTTACAAAGGTATGTTGCAGAATCTTACTCAGCATCCCTGGAAGAAGATACAATTTATCCTATTGTTCCTTTTAAATTATATTTAAATAGATTCAAAAGTCCTAAGCAAGTTCAGGCACTGAAAAGCCTTTGTCTACACTGACAGCCAAAATCAAAGGACAGGGTGTGCTTTAATTTTCCTCTCCTTCTCCTCCCTCCTTGTAGTCATATCAATTCACAATTTTTCACAGGTGTGTACACCTATGAAATATTTTCCTTTAAGTGCTCCCTTAAAATTTTTTCAGACACCTTGATACCTATTTTCTACAGAAAAAAATACCTTTCATTCCAGTTTTCATTCCACTTAGTCCCTGCTGTGTGACTGGGCGGTCTGCCACTTTAATGTGAGGTGACAAGATTCCACTTGCAGTTGAAGAACCAGCACGAGAACCAGGTCTTGATGTACTGGGAGGCATCTAGAAAAACAAAACAAAATCCCACCAAAAAAACCCAACTCTGAGTTATGAATTTTTTATCTTCATGCAATCACCAAAGCAATTACAAACTTAAGAGTTAGTCTCTAAAATCTTCATATAAGAATCTTTCAGTGCCTATACCTCTTCAGCTAAATAGAGCTTCAGTCAAACATCTGCTGCAGAAAGGTCAGAGATTGCTTCTGAGGAGTTAATCACTGTGGTTTGTGAATGACACTGATACTATCCTGATTTCCCAGATGAACTCATAATGCAAGACCTCACTGACCTCTTTCCATCAAAATTACAAAGAAGCACTCTTTACTGAATGAAAATCTTTCAATTCTTCCTGAGAAAATATCACAGAATCATACAATCATAAAACATCCTGATGATCACCAAGTCCCTACTCCCGACTCTGCACAGCACCACCCAAAAATCAGACCACATGTCTGTGAGCACTGTCCAGAATCATCCTGAACTCTGTCAGCTTGGTGCCTTGACCACTGTCTTGGGGAAGCCGTTCCAGTACCTGGCATCCTCCTGATACCCAAACAGACCTTTCCCTGACACAGCTCTGAGCCATTCCCTCAAGTCCTGTTGCTGGTACCAGAAAGCAGCTTCCTATGAAGAGCTGTAAGCTGCCATGAGGCCTCCCCTCAGGCTCCTCTGCCCCGACTTTAACAAATTGAGGAGCCACAGCCTCTCCTCACACCTCTAGTCCTCTAAACCCAACACCATCTTTGCAGTTTCTCTCTGGACACTCTCTAAAATTTTCACATCCTTTTTGTACTGCGGCACCAAAACTTGACACAGTACTCAAGGTGAGTGCAGGCACTGAAGACACTAGTGCAGGATAGAGTGGGACAGTTCCTACCATCACCCGAATGGCAGTCTCTGGATATAGTTGGCCTTCCTGGCTTCCTGGGCACAGTGCTGACTTGTGTACAACCTGCTATGATCAGGACCCCATGTGTTCTTCAGACACTTTCCAGTGTCTCATCCCCTCCATCCGTATATACACATACAGTCTTTATAGCTAGGGTTGCATCTTCCCAAGTACAGAAACTGGCACTTGCTCTTATTAAACTTCACGCAGTTGGTGATACCCTTATTTGTCTAAATTTCTCTGCAAGGCCTCTCTGTCCTTGACAGAGTCAACAGCTCCTCCCAAGTCAGTATCACCAGCAAACTTGCTCCAAACACCTTCTAGTCCTACGTCTAATCCATTTATGCAGACGTTAAAGCGAACTCACCCTAAAATGGAGGCTGGGGATCCCCACTACTGACCAGGCACCAGATTGATGCAACCCCATTTACTATAATTTTCTACAGTATTATGCTTTTCGTTTATCCCTCCTGAAAAATTATGAAAGTCTGAGTAACAAGTAACGATACCCCAGTTAACTTTATTTTTTTTTTTTCTTTTCACATACCCCTGTTCCTATCCTGGCTGCTGATGGAACCCTTGCTGCAGAGGATGGCCTTGCTGGCAGCCCTACTCCTGCTCTCGAAGGAGGACGGCCTATGGGAGTTCTGTGGCCGCTCGCCATGCCTGTTTCCTTTTGAACTTCTCCCTGGAAAGAAGGATAAGCAACAGTCTTTTCACAACGACCACAGAACAACTCGCTTAAATTTCATTCATCTTTTTTTACATTTCCTCCGAATCCCCCAAAGCAGCTGCCCTTTCGGAAGCGGGGCACAAAGCAAGACCGTGCTCAGAGCGGACCGAGTGGGCACAGACCTGTTCCCACGCTGCGGAAGCCCCCTCCCCTCCGCCCCGCGCAGCTACGACGCCTCCTCAGGCCACGGCGGCGGTATCTCAGCAACGGCTCGGCTGCGCCGCTCCGTTATCGCGATACCTAGAAACCTCATTCCCAACACCCGGTCAGCAGGGACTACATGTCCCAGAGTGCATAGCGGCGGCGGCACGACTGCTACTCTCTCTCTGCGGCGCGGTGCCTGCTGGGACTTGTAGTTCAGCTCGTCCCGCCGGCGTGTCTGGCGGCATTTCTTCCGGCGCGATGCAAGGCAACTTCCGGCAGTAGAGGCGGCGGCGGTTGGGACGGGTGCCGTGTCAGAACGGTCCCACCTTTCGTTATGGCGGGCGACGGCGGCGCCTACCGGCTTCGCTGCTCCCTGCTGGGCCACGAACAAGACGTGCGGGGCATAACGCGAGGTTTCTTCCCCGAGGGCGGCTTCGTGTCCGTATCTCGGGACCGGACTGCCCGGCTCTGGACGCCCGACGGGTGAGTGCTGGAGCGCTCAGCGGCCTGGCGGCCCTCGGCTGGACCGGGGGGTACGGCGGGCGCGCACGGCTGGCTGAAGGATCGCTATGGGGAGAGGCGGCACTGCGAGCTGCTGCTGTTGTTTTCAGGGTTATATCGGTGGTGGCTTCTGCGAACGTGGGAGGCTTTATCCGGCTGATGTTCAAGCTGCTTTCTCCTCTCAGTCAGTGTAGAAGTAATCTTAGAAACGTCTCGGTTTTAACAGCGAAGCAGTGTACTTTGAATGTTTTTGAGGGATCTTTGTTTATTCTCCTTGGGCAGGCAACACTGTGAGGCTGTCTTGAATGCTGTTCCTGGTTTCTGGGCTCCTCATTTCAAGGAGGGTGGAATTTTCTGGAGGGAGTCCAGCAAAGAGCCACTGGGATGATTTGGGGCCTGGAGGAAAGCCCTTCCTCTTACAGGGAAAGGCTGAGAAACCTTCGACTGCATGGCCTGGAGATTAGGGTGGATCTCATCCCTGTTTGTAAATATCTAAAGTGCAGGAATTGAATGGGTGGGGCCGGGTTCATTTGGAGAAGCCAAGCAGCAGGACAAGGGATAACAGGCACAAACTGGAACACAGCAAATTCTATGCAAATGTGAGGAAAAAGTTCTTTACTTTGAGGACGACTGAGCAATGGAGCAAACTGCCCAGAGAGGTTGTGAAGTCTGCTTTATCTGGAGTTGAAGTCGGGACCCATCTGGGTACTTTCCTGGGCAACCTAGCATAGGGAGCTTCCTTTACTGGTGAGGTTGGACTGGATGATCTACAGAAGTCCCTTTCCAGCCCCTGCTACGATTGTGATTCTGCGTTGCTGCAAGGTATTTTCCTCAGGGAACAGGTCCTGCAAAGCAGTGTGAGATGATGATGAAGGTGCTGGAGGCAGCAATGAGACCTGCTCAGCTGCTTCTACTTTCAGTTCTGAGAGTACTATGTTCTGAAGTTATTTTCCAGTGGCTTTCTGTGAAGCAGAGGTAGTTGACAGATTTATGTCAGTGCTCACGTGTGTTTCAGTTGGTGTCTGTAGCCCTCCAGTGGAGATGGAGGACATCTATTTGCACTAAGTGTGGTTTGTTGGGTCTCTTATCATTTCAAGAAGAAATTCCAAAATTGCGTAGAAATTTATTGCAAGAAAAGAAGTTTCATTCTGACCCCTGATGTCAGAGGGTTGCTAGAAGGAGGTAAGGGATGATTTACTCAGTAGCATTCTTTTTCTTTTGAGGTTGTGTTATAATGAAAAATCAAGGGTACTGGTTGAATTGGATGTAATGCTTATATGTTCCAATGAACAGATTTTTCAGTTAGCAAGCTTTCTTCATTTATTTTGCCTTTTATTTTGGGTTATACTGGAGTAGATAATTGAGATTTTACACAGGAGACTGTTTCACGAAGGCAAACTGCAATTAATTCTGATCAAATTCTTATGAAATTCCTTCCAGTACCTAAAAGGGAAAGGCTGGAGGGAGTGACTATTCAGCAGGAAATGTATTGGTAGGGCAGGGAGTAGTAGCTTTTAACTAAAAGAAAAAATATGTGGATGGCTTTAAATGTTGCTTTCTGGGTCGGAATGCTGGAGTATAGTTTTCCTCAAAGTTTTTCATCCACAGTAAGCACACTGCAAAGGTTGTTAGTAAGTCTAGAGCTGTTGTAACTCAGCACCTCAGGTAAGTGCTATTTCTATTTTGACACTGGACTGATTATCGTATATGTTTAGTCTTAACAGGGGATTTACTGAAATGCACTGTATGCGTGGCCACTCAAATTTTGTATCTTGTGTGTGCATCATACCTCCAAGTGACCTCTATCCTCGTGGGCTGATTGCAACTGGTGGCAATGATCATAATATTTGCATTTTCACAGTAGACAACACAGCTCCTCTTTACGTCCTTAAGAGTCATAAGAATACAGGTATGTACTCTTTTTTTTTTTTTTTTTTTTTTTTTTTTTGAGTTTGTTACTCAACAAGAAGTTAATGTGATTTATTAGGAAATTGAGTTGAAGTTGTAAAACTCAATTTTGATTTCTTTGATATTTACTATGTAAGCTGTTTGATTATGGCCTCTACAAGCAGCATTCTGTAATCTCAATTCACTTAAAGGCAGTTTGATGGAAGGACTTACAAAATTTATGCTGATTGATATTTGAACACTTGATCACAGGGCAATTTACAGAATGTATCCTTTTTATTAAGTTACATTTTTTTAAGAAGCAGGTAATTTAATCCTCTGTGTATTGTGTTAAGCTTAGTTTTGGTGTCTGAGTTCATAGAAGTACAATGAAGCTTCCTGGGATAAACAAACTTGCAGTGCTCATCTTATTTCCTAAGGGGACTGCAGTATTTACTGGTGCTTTAAAAATCTGCTGAATTCTAAAATGTCACTGCAGAAATTTCACCTCCATAGATAAATCAGTGCAACATGTGACATAAAAACAATATTATATACCCTTTTTAAGCCATGAAATGAAAGATTCAGCAATCCTTATGTTGGAATGCAAAGGTGGGTTTTTTTGCTTGTTTTTTGTTTGTTTGCTTTCATGTTGTGATGTACTATTTCATTATGGAATTCCAGAAGTAAACATTGCAAATCTTGGATGTTCAGGATCTCTTAAGGTCTCTAAGGATTCTGGAGATCAGTTTGAAAACAATCTCAACTGCTACACAGCACCAAAAATTTATATATTTACATTATAAATGACTTGACTTGCCATGATAAAGAAATTAAATAATGTCATTGTGTAGGAAGGCGTGGAATGCCTTACATATTTCATGTGAAATCTGGGCTCGATGAGTAGATAAAAGAACAGTATATTCCCTTCATGTCTATAAAAAGACATGCTGTTATATGAAGCAAGTTGGATTTCCCTACAGAAAGTATTTTTTATAGCAATTTTTATAGTAATGCAAAACATAATTTTTTCTTTTTAAATGTAAAGTCATATTAATTATGACTTTAAATCTGTTTCAGAAGTGGGGAAAAACTGAGACGTGACTAACAGTAGACGTGAGCAGAATACTATCTAGTTCTGACTGCTGTGTGAAACATAAGGCCCTACTTTCTTTAATGTATTCTCAGATGGATAACGTATTCTGACTTAGCTCTTTTTGTATACTTTGAGTAACCCTTATTGCTGCTGTGCCTCTTGAGTTTTATAGCTGTGCATTACTGGAGCATTTGCAGTTTATATTCTTGTTAAATAACTTATCGTATGTCAGTATAATTTCTTGGTGGTAGTATTTTGTCTTCCAAGAAGATGAGCTAAGTATTTTTGGTATGAAAACTTGTTTTGTGAGAATGTAAGCTAATAATGTTGGTGAAATCTTGTTTCTCTCTGTAATCGTAAAACTAAATTTTTGCGTTAATTCTGTTTCTTGACCAATTATCTGTGCTGTTGGTGAACATATTCTGACTTGAGATCAAATACTAAACTTAAAATGTAGATATATAAATGACAAAAAGGAGTGAACATCTAAAATGAGATTTGTAAGCAGTTCCTTTCTAGGTGGCCATCAACTCCATTTCTGCTTAATTTTTCTCCAAACTCCTCAATGATAGCTATTCTGCTAATGCCAAATTTATCTCCTTAAATAATTTAAAAGTACTGGCATAAGATTTGTGACAATACAGGTAACGCTGTTGTTAATCTGAAAATACATTTCAGTTTGCAGCCTTTCTTCTGGGAAATTTGGCACACTATTAAGTGGATCATGGGATACAACTGCCAAAGTCTGGTTGAATGACAGATGTATGATGACATTACAGGTATGAAGTTACTCTGCATGAATGTAAAATAGGTACTGAATTTTACTTTAACAAGTTTAACAGTGTTGTGGGGTTGTTTTTGTTTTTTTCAGGGTCACACAGCTGCAATATGGGCAGTAAAAATACTGCCTGAACAGGGATTAATGTTGACGGGTTCAGCTGACAAAACTATTAAACTGTGGAAGGCAGGCAGATGTGAAAGAACTTTTACTGGTAAATATTGCTGCAGGTGGTAATTTAATCAAGGTCATACGCTTTATTAAAAACAGGGAAAATATAATCAGAAACCACTAAGACTTCTGTAAATTAAATGACTTTTAGGCAGGATTTTAACAATCTCTTGAGTTGTATACTCAGAAATCCCATTACTTTTAAAAGACTCAAATTTCTTTCAGTGCTTCTATAATGAAAATTGGTTGCCAGGATACAGATGTGAGTTAAATAGAAATAGTGTACTGCTGGTAATTGAAAAAGATTTCTTTCTTCTACACAGGACATGAAGATTGTGTAAGAGGTTTAGCTATTCTCAGTGAAATGGAATTCCTTTCGTGCTCTAATGATGCTAGTGTTCGAAGATGGCATATCTCTGGCGAGTGTCTGCACGTATATTATGGACATACAAACTATATATACAGCGTATCTGCCTTCCCTCACTGTGAAGGTAAGTTTATCTTTTGTGACTATTAGCCAGCACAATTCCAAAATGAAATGGCAAAGTAGGCAGTCTGTAGCTTTATGAAACTGCCATAACCGAAAAACTCAGTATTGAATTTGTTGTACATTTTTCAATTTTTTATTTTTTTTTTAAACTCCAAACCATGTCTTCTGCGGAATTGATCTGATAGCAAATAAGATGAAAGTTCATAGGCAGGAAACTTTGATAAAGCGATACACAAAATTACCATCCAGATAGCAGTACTGAAATACAAATGGCTGTGGAGTACTTAAATAGTATGCATGGCTTAGCAGTTTGAGGTTACATACATTTCAGTGAATAAGGAATTAATAGAAATGTCAGGAAAGGGTTGTGGTCCATAGCTCAATGTCAAGGAAGAGGCTGGGAGTGAGTGGTGAGTGGTCCATCTTGGAACCAGTACTCTTCAATTTCTCTGTCAGTGACACAGATGATGGGATCGACTGCACCCTTGGCAAGTTTACTGATGATAGCGAGCTGAATGTTCCAGTTGACATAGCAGAAGGAGCAGATACTGCCAGAGGGACCTTGATAAACTCACATGAAACTAATGAGATTCACATAAGCAGACTGCAAGGTTTTGCACTCGATAATCTTAGCTATGTATACGAGATGGGAGAAGAATTTCTTGAGTGGTTTTGCTGAGAAGGACTTAAGTGTTCTGGTGGACAAAAAACAAGAGCTAGCAGTGTGCAGGCCAACAGTATCCTAGGCTGCATCAGAAGAGGGGTGGCTAGCAGGGCAGGATGGAGATTGTCACGCTGTATTCTGACCTATGTGACCCCATTTGAAGTATTGCATCCAGGTCTGGTATCCCCAACATAGGAAAGATGTTGAGCTTGTGGAGAGGGTCGAGAGGAGGGCCATGAAGATGACCCAAGTGCTAGAGCACCTCTCCTGTGAAGACAAGCTGACAGAGCTGTGCTTGTTCAAGCTGGAGAAGAGAAGGCTGTGGGGAGACCTCATTGAGGCCTGCCAGTATTTAAACAGAGCTTATAAATGGGAGGAAAACAAACTTTTTTGTTTGTTTGTGGTTAGTGATAGGACAAGGGGGAATGGTTTTAAACTAAAAGAGGGGAGACTTAGATTTTCACTGAGAGGATGGTGAGGTGCTGGCACAGGCTACACAGAGAGGTTCTGGATACCTCATTCCTGTAGCTGTTCAAGGCCAGGTTGGATGGGGCCCTGAGCAATCTGATCTGGTACTTGATGTAATGGTTGGCACCCCTGCAGCAAGTGGTTTTGAACTTGGTCCTCGATGTTCTCCAATCAAGCCATTCTGTGATTTCAAAGTATCTTAGAAATAGTTTAGATCAACGATTTTATGCATGCAGTGTATGCATGTTTTAAGATTGAGAAGTTTGGAAGTTCAGAACTAACTATTGCAGACAGTTGAAAAATAAATTCAATGAACTTTGTTTGCTGTATGAAGTGTTTGTTCATCAGATAAAGTGGCTGTGTATCTCAAATCTCTTCTGCACCAAAACTCCTCATAAGAGGACGTGCCTGAAGTTAGATTTTGGTTTTTGAGCAGGCTTTATGCATGTTTACTGAAATAGCAGCCTGACCTTGGAAAAATCTGGTAGTTATAACAACAGTCATGCTCTGGAAACTCTAAAAAAAAGCAGTTATAATTTCAAGTTCTTTGTTTAAACTCTTGGAAGGAGAAAGCAATCTTGAGATGCAAACAACTGTTTTTTCCCTGTCTGGCTGCTCAGCCTGCAAGTTATTCTCTTGTTTTTTGACCAGACAACTATGTAGTGACTTTTGATGTTTTAATTCTTAGATAACGAGTTGTAGAGAGGCACCTACTAACATAGTATGCTAAAAATCAGCTTTAAAAGCTTTTGTGTTTTTTCTTTTCAGATTTTGTAACTACTGGAGAAGATAGATCTCTTAGAATCTGGAAGCAAGGGGAATGCATTCAAACAATCAGACTCCCAGCTCAGTCTGTGTGGTGCTGCTGTGTGTTAGACAATGATGACATTGTAGTTGGTGCAAGGTATCCACGTCTTATTCTCAGTGTATTTCCAGACTTAGATCTGAAAAACCCCAGGTGAAATGGTGTGCATTCCTCTGATTATCATTTCCCACTATATTTAAAAATACAGCTGTGAAGATGCATGTGAAAATTAAATTTGTGTGCTGTGTTCCAGCCAAAAGGTTGATATGATATAAAGGTTGATATTTTGTATTGATATGCAAAATGCAGAGGTAAAAAGAATTCTTTGGGAATGTGGTAATACTGAGACTATACTGTGTGAATAGCACATTTGATAGGCATATCCTACCTTGGCTTGTATTGTGGAGTTTCAAGGTAACTTTTGTAAGTCCTATAGACCTTTTTTAGAATAAGAGCAAACTAATAATAATAATAATAATTAAAAAAAAAAAAGGGGGGGGAGGGGGGAGGCAGGGGAAGAATTGCTGGAAATAATTGTGGTTTATCATGATGTAGAAGTCACTATCAGAATATATGTAGTTTTGATATTTAACATACTATTTTTCTTTGCATGTTTTCTCTTCATTCAGTGATGGAATCATAAGGGTATTTACGAAGTCTTTGGAAAGAACAGCAAGTGCTGAAGAGATACAGGCCTTCGAGAATGAGCTTTCCCAAACATCCATTGACCCTAAAACTGGTGATTTAGGAGATATTAATGCTGATGATCTTCCTGGAAGAGAACACCTTAAGGATCCTGGTAAGTTATGTACAATTCTGTTATGTTAGAGGTGCCTCCAGATCTTGATTGTGATATACTGAAACTTTCCATCCATTCCAAATAAAGGTTTGAATCACTTTCAGTAGAATCGCTAAAGAAGAAAGCTTGATTTTGTTCTGCACTGATTCTTTTGTTAGCAAGACTGGAGTTGTAAATATTTCTGTGTGTGTGTGTATTTTTTGTATACTAAAAAGGTGAAAAATAAATATTCTGCGAAATAATTCAGAAAAAGCTGGCTTTCAGTATGCTGCAGTGTGTTGAAGATGTTCTGGATCTACTATGCTAGCTATGGCAAAAATAAGAGACAGCCATATAACTTTCAAAAGGATTACTAAGTTTTCCCTCCCCTCCAGCCCCCCTAAGAACAAATTAAAAATGATTACATTCTAGCTCTCAGCTTGAAAAACAGTTTTGCTCGATCAACTGGAGGGTACGCGTTCCAAGTGCTCGGGAGGTTACTGAGGAAAGTAGAGGGAGAAGTGGTGATTAAGATTACTCTTAAATATGCAAATACTTTTTCCCAGGTGGATGAGTCAGTGACTTAAGCTGTCAATTCTAACCAGCAAGTTGTATAAGTCTTAGAATCATATAAAGCTTCCTATCTTTTTAAACCATGAGAGAATATCACCTTTCTTAATTGTGACCTCCCTGTGAAAATGGTGAACTTTTGAAATACTTAAGGACTGCTTATGCAACTGTCTGCTGGCATATAACATTTCTATAACTGTAAATTGCTATTGTCCACGTATTCTGCTATTTTTGTTGCAACATTTACTATCTAGTTTTCTGTGTTGTGACTTCAAATCTTGGACTAGTTCTTCATCTTTGTAATTGAGTTCTGTGTTAGACTTTCTCTTTCTTAAAGTAAATTTTATTTTTAAATTTCTTGAATTTCTTTAATCTGTTAAATATTCATGCCTGCAGGAACAAGAGATGGACAGACACGGCTGATTAAAGATAATGGGAAAGTTGAAGCATATCAGTGGAGTGTTAGTGAAGGAAGATGGATAAAGATTGGTGATGTTGTTGGCTCTTCAGGAGGCACACAACAAACATCTGGAAAGGTTTTATTTGAAGGAAAAGTATGTACAACATTTAATAGGCTTTATTCCTTTTTAAGTTAAACGCTGGATTTCACATTAGAGAAAAAAGATTCTGATCACGACTTAAATATAATACAGATTAAAAAATAGGAATTTATTCGTTTATTTTTCTTTTTGCACATTTTTGATTTAATAAAACTTACAGGTAGTACTGTTAGGTTCTGTTCTACTTTTGAAATGCATTTTGTAAAATAAGCAAACAAGTTGAAGTTACTTTGCAGGAAGACCACCTGCCAGCTAGTAACAGAAGAATCAAAATCTCAACTATTTATTACTACTACACAGAAAAGTTACATATAACTGCCTTTGCAAAGAGAAAGAAGCTTGTAGTGTGTAACATTGGGTCAATCTGAAATTCTAAGTCCCAGATTTTCTCTGGTTTTTTTTTTTTTTTTTTTTTAAACTTTGGAACGTAAAGAGGGGTAATCTGAAAAGTAATCATTTCATTTGTTGAAGCATACACAGAAAAAATTCTGCATAGCAAAGAACTTTCTCTTGTATGTTTTAAGAAATCATGGGGCTCTGTTCTTGTGTAGTAGTAGTATGTTTTTTGTCCTGATGTTTTTTTCAGGTACCTGTCTGCCCTATACCTTCACAGTCAGTCAGAGATGTCTGTGAGTTATTTTGCAATATATGATGACAATGTATGTACAGGTATATTATTCTTGCCTGGTTTTGTCAAAATACAGAATTATGGAAAATGTAGGGTATAGTTACACATAAGCTCCAACAAATATGAGACTATACAACTACTGTTGATACAATCTGCAAGTTGCAGTTTTAAAGTTTTTTGGCTTAGGCCTGGACCACTATCAGTCTGTATTTGATGTCTTTATGCAAAAAAAGTGCTGACAAGTGCCTCATTTGTTTTTGTTTTTATTCATATAGGAATATGACTATGTTTTCACTGTTGATGTAAATGAAAGTGGTCCTTCCTACAAACTGCCATATAACATTTCTGATGATCCTTGGCTGGCTGCATATAACTTCCTGCAAAAGAATGATCTAAATCCAATGTTTCTGGATCAGGTGGCCAAATTTATTATAGACAACACTAAGGGGCAAGCACCGTTGAATACAAATACTGAATTTTCAGACCCGTTTACAGGTAAAAAACAAAACTTGGGCACAATCAAGAAGTTAAGCATCTGAGATAAAGATGTGTACTTCTAAATATTCTTGGTATGCTCCGATGTTTTCTCTAAGTATATTCCATCACAAGGCTAGGGCATGAACTTTAGTAGAATGGCTTAGAGCATTATGTGTTCTATAATGCTGCTGTAAGCCAGCTATGCTTACCTGGTAGTGTAGGTCACTTTACATGCAGACTTGAGAGTTGCAGAATCATTGAAGCTTGAAGAGATCTCTAGAGATTACCAAGTCTAACAGGGGGAGCCAATTTGCTCAGGACCACATCTAGATGGCTCCTGAATACTTCCAGCATGGGACACTCCACAGCCTCTCGGGGCAACTGCTTAGTCATGTGCACAGCTGAAAAGTGTTTCCTGGTGTCCAGACAGAACTTCCCGTGTTTCAGTTTGTTTTGTTAATGGGCATCCCTTGGAAGATACTTTACTTCTTGTCTTGGCATCCTGTGGCCCCTAATTCTCTGTATTCTCTGATATGTCAATCTCCCTTGTATTGGGGATCTCAGAGCTAGCCGCAGTACCCCAGGGGCAGCTTCCTCAGTGCTGAGTGGAGAGGAAGGCTCACCTCTCCACCTGCTGTCAGAATTTTGCCAAGATTGCCCAGGATGCCATTAGTCGTCTTTGCAGTATAGTCATATTGCTGACTCATAAACAGCTTGGTGTCCACTAGGACTTTTCTGCCACGTTGCTTTTTAGTAGTCCCTAGCACATAGTGGTGCCTGGAGTTGTTTCTCTCCAGGTGCAGTACTTTGAACTTCTCCTTGAATTTCAAGAGGTTCCTGCTTAGCTAAGTCCCCTTAGGTCGTAAGACAACTAGTCCTCTGGATATCAGTCACTTTTAGCATTTTGTTGTTAACGTACCATCAGCAAATCTACACTGTACTACATCATCCAGGTCATTAACAAAGGTGTGAAAGAGGATTAGTTCCAATAACTGACATGTAAGGTCCGTTGCCACTTAGTAGCTTCTAACTAGATGTTGTGCCACTGATGTCACCCTCGTGACATGTCTTCAGTCAGTTTTCAATCCATCTCACTGATCATCAAGACTTCAGTGTCCTAGTTCTTGCACTTGTTTCCTGTCCTCAAATGATGGAGGACATGGCACAGATAGATCTGACAAGAAGCTTGTAAAATCTGTGAGGTTTTTATCAGAGCAAATCTTTGAACAAAATGTTAGTCAAGCCAGCTATATCTTTTTTTAGTCTAATCTTTCTTTTTCAATGTAAGAAAATCCAGCTTTTTATCCAATTGGGCTAACAGTGGCCAGATGCTATTAAGGCAATGGATAAAATACAAAAATTTAACTGGAGGGAGAAATGAAACTGACTAAGATAAGTAAGTAAATCCTTGTCAGGAAGAAAATGAAAACCATTATTTTTAATTTATTAAAAAGCGTATTTGAAAGTTAATTACTCAACAGCTGAACTTTGTTAATTGGTTACATCCTCTCTGTTGCTTTACAAACTAACCCACTATTCAGATAGTTCCACAAAGTTGTAGGTAGGAACAAAATGTCATGAAAATAACTAAGTTAAGTCTTTTTTTTTTTTTTTCCTTGCAGTGAACTAGAAATTACTTTAGAGGCCATCAATCAGATTCAGATGCATCTTATGGAACTGCAGTTGTATAAACCTGTGCTCATACCTTTTAACTTGACTCTGTCCGAATGTACAATGCTTATGTTCTAGAAAAAAAGTTCTGACTCTGATATATTCAGAATTTTCTTGAGCACTGGGGGAACTGTGTAAAGAGGATCTAGTATGTCTTATGACTTATTTTGATGTTTGCCTTCATTTTTCAGTTGCATCTGTCTGAAAATACTGATACTTTACTAACACCAAGGTATGTATGTTTCGCTAGGTGCTGGGCGTTATGTTCCAGGCTCTACATCTCTGTCAAATGCAGCCCCTGCAGCAGATCCATTTACAGGTAATATAATATTAATAATCTTTACTGTATTTTGTCTTGCCAGTGTTCAGTTAGAGTTTGTTTGGCTCCTGAGTCCTGTTTCTTCCTCTCCTCTACTTGGAGTAGCACTGTGGGACAGTTGATTGATTGTGTGGAGCCTGTCCAGCTCTGTTTAGCATTGTCTCTCTTGTCTGCTTGTCTGGTCTGCCTTGCATCACTCTGTCCTCTGCAGCAAAGCAGTCAGATATTAAATGCCATGTTTTGCCAATCTTATAGCCATGGCCAGCTCGGGATCGGGCATTTTCATAGAAGACTTTTCTTTTTTCTCATTATCTCTTTATTCTCTTTATGTGAATATTACTGGTATCTATATATGCTAAATTTTAGATTCTAATCCTTCCTCTTACAGCTTAAAATCCTTCTCATTTGTAATAAGCGTGTTTGTAAAGAAATCTCATCCTGCCTAGTAGCTCTTGATCCTCAGAGAAGGGTCACACAGTCATAGACCTTCCCTCAAAGCTCTCTAACTACTTTTAATGCTCTGCAAGGCTTTCTTGGCAGCATCACTGATGTGTAGGTCGAAGAATAGCAGGGGTTAAAGTATGAGGGCCAGGCAAGCTGTGGCAGTCCCTCTGACATCCTGTATCCTGACTCCCAGCAAACAACAAACCTCCCAAGAAAATAGGTCAAATAGGTGTCTTTGTGCCCTGCTGGAAGAAATCTCTCACCCCTTCTGCTTTCCTTTCCCTGTTTTTGTACATGCTAGCTACACTTTCAGCTGGCTCTGATGCATCCTCTTCTGTGTGTTTGTCCTCATCGCTGCCAGGTGTAATATTTGTCCATGTGGCGCAGAAGCCTTCCTGCTCTTGCTTGAAGTTAAAGCATTTCCCATCTTGACAGTCCTCCTCCATACCCTCTCTACTGTGGTCTCCAGCTGTCCCTCTTCCCTTTTTTTTTTTTTTTTTTTTTTTTTTTTTTTGTGGCTCGGTTTTTCATTTCTAAAAACCTTGACTGTCTCCTGAACTCTGCTGGTGGTTCATGGCTTTGGCACCTGAATACTTAGCACCACATTCAGAACCTACTGTCCTTCAGGAGAGGCCATCACTGCCTCAGGCAGAGGGAGAAGGCAGGCCTGGGTAACAGCCTCGAGCTCTTAATGGTCACAGCGAGTTGTACCAAGGAGTTTGGCATCTGTGGTGCCAGAGAAACTGCCTGAATTTTACTGAATAGTCACTTACCTTTGAGTGGCCATCACTGCCACCAGCACTACCCTCACACATATGTATATATATATAGGGAGAGAGAGAGAGAGAGAGACAGAGAGAGAGAGAGACAGAGAGACAGAGAGAGAGGAAAAAAAAAAAAGTCTGTAAGTTTCAAGAAGAGTTAGAGGACTTTTTTCTAATTTTGTCAGTGCAAAATAATACTGTTAGTAGTGATATTTCAAAACTACCAATTAAAAGCACATATACACTACCTCTTTGCCAGTGGTGGTGATGAAAAAGTTTAACCTCTCCATTCAGGTGCTGGTCGCTATGTTCCTGGTTCAGCATCAAATGCTGCAGAGGGTGGGCATGATCCATACACAGGTAAGAGTGAGGCCTGCCTTGTAAAGAGCATTGCTGATCTTCTTCTTTGGTTGTTGTTTTGTTGTGGATTCCATGCTGTTATAAATTTTATATTTAAGCATTACAAGCAGATTAAAACTGCTTATATTTCAGAAATTATTAAAAAAAAAAAAAACAACAAAAAAAAACAAGGGGAATAAAGCCTTCTTTTACACTTAGGAATTGTAGAATATCCTGAGTTGGAGGGACCCACAGGGATCATCAAATCCAATTCCTGTTTCTGCACAGGACCACCCAAAATTCAAACCCTGTGTCTGAGTGTACTGTCCAAACACTCCTTGAACTCTGGCAGCTTGGGGCCTTGAGCATTGTGCTGGGAAGCTTGATCACACTCTGAAGAACCTGACCCAGCCTGACACTCCTCTGACACAGCTGCATGCAGACTTGTATGAGTGTAGTCTGCAAACTCTTGTTCGTCAGTGACTAAATTGCATAGTCAGTGGTGGTGGCTATGTTGAAAAAGAGTGTTTTGTTGCTGAGAATTTGCTCTATCAAACAGTGTTTTCTTGTGCTCTTTGCATCTGTTGTAGTTTTCATGGAAATAAGCACAAACCATTCCTTTTGGAGTGACCATGCTGTAGTGCCACACGCACAGAAGCTTTATAATATACATTAGGAATCTGCTTATTGAGAAAATTTTTGGTGTGCTGGCAGCTGTTGCACAAAGAAATAAATATATGCAGTTTTAGTGGAAATTATACAATGTAATCTATCAGTTCATCTGTGATTCTAGAAAATCATAAAGCTTTTTATTAATATTGTGATGTTGGTTTACTCTTGCATGTGATGTAACTTGGTCATATCTGCAGATTTAGATCTCTGCCTATTTATTATGAAAATAATGAGGAGCAGGAGAAGCTTTTATTCTAAAGCCAGAGAATTTTCATGGCTTAATTGCAGTATCAATTCCTATGACTGTATTTTTGTTTCAATATAATTCAGGTATCACATAAAAATACATACTTAACAAATTTGTCATAGGGGGAAGAACAGCTTGTGAAGGATTGCTTCAGGTTTTAACCCTTACACATAAAATGTGCATAAAACAATCTAAAGAAAGACAGCTATTGCTTAAGCATTAAGGTTTTTATAAAAAAAAAAAAAAAAAAAAGTCTGAGTGGTGAACAGTGGGAAAGTGTTATTGGTAGGGTAATAATCTGTATCAGATGCTTTGGTATGCTGTTTTTTTGTTTATGCTCATTTTTGTTTATGTAGGAATGGGTGCCTACCAATCAGCTGAAGCTGAAAACATTTATTTTCCTAAGAAGGATGCTGTCACCTTCGACCAGGCCAATCCTACACAGATTTTGGGTCAGTATTTTAATTTCAAGGATTTTTTTTTCATCTTTTTAAAAGAAATAACTTTTTTTTTCCTTCAAAAATCTAAATATTTCCAATAGTTTTCCTCCTCTTTCTCAGTTTTGACCTTTTAAAATTAAAGTAATTGCTTTAATGGTGAATGTATTAGGAGGCTTAGAAAGGGGAGTAAACTTCAGAAGAATTCCTATCTAATGCAGATTGTTTTTTTTCTTTCTCCTGCTGTCTGCTTTCGTTCGGTGTTTTGTTTACAAAGCTGGTACATCTGAGCACTGAGATTTTTTTTTCTCCTAGCTGCTGGGTATGTGGGTCATATGCAATCCCTTTCCAGTTTTGCTTATGAAAGTTTAAAAGCACTAGACACTAGTACAGTGTAATCTGCTCTATGTTGAAGGTGCTCTGTAGTTTCATAGAGTCGTCTCTTCTGTGTTTAATCAGAACATTTTGCGGTACAGAAAATGATACACAGTGTTTAGTAGTAATGCACACTTCTGATGAATATTGCTGTTGTCTTTTTCTGTTTATCCATCCATATTCTTGTTCTGTAATGTAACATAATCTCAGAATTCCACAGAATCTCTACTTGTCTCTTTTTTTTACGGTATGTTCTTGTAGAGTGCCTTAACGCAGTTATGAGTTTTGTAAAACCAGTTTGTATTCACGCTGTAGGAAAATACAGTACCTGGTTCAAACATCTCCAGATTAAAATTATCTTATTCAAATCTTTTTCATTTCTTCTCCATCTTTGCTTGCACATAGGCTAAAATGTGAGTTCTGAACCAGCACTATAGTATTAAGGAGGCTTGATAGTAATATTTGTTGTGATGATTGAAATTAGAAACCTGAAATTGTGAGAAGTAATGTTCTTAAATGATCACAGCAGTTGTAACTTCTTCAGTAAAATACTGCAAATCCAGTTTTTTGTAAAGAGTTTTGTTGAGCTGAAAATCATATCTCTTCAATTGGTCTTACAGGTAAACTAAAGGAACTTAATAGCAATGCTGCTGAAGAACAAAAACTTACAGAAGATGACTTGATAATCCTAGAAAAGTTACTGTCTGCAACATGCAATACCTCTGCAGAAATGCCTACAGCACAACAAATGCAAACTTTATGGAAAGCGATTAACTGGCCGGAAGGTAGACATTTGCAATTATTTTTTCATATTGTTGTCTCATCAGTACTTCACTATGAACCAGAACTCTTGTTAATGCTGGAAGCTACAAAGTCTGTCCCAAAGAGTTTATAACTCAGACAGAACCCAGTGGAGAACATTACAGGGGTAGCAGCATGAACAGCAGAACTGTTAATTAGTTGTCAGATGGTTGCTGGCACAACAACAAAGGTAAAAGAGAAATTTGATACAAACATCAGTCACAGTTATTTCATTAGTAGAGCTTCTTCAAGAAGCTCTGAGGCCTGTTAGGAAATAAAGCAAAGTTAGAGTTCTATCAAATGAGAGGTAAAATTATGGAAATGAGTTGTATTTAAATACATGTGAATATATATCACAAAACGTCTTCTATGTAATATGATGGGAGTTCCTGAAGTTAGGTCATGCAGTCTGCATTAGTTAAATGGCATTCTGAATGAATGAATACAAGTGGAGTGATACAATGTCATTAGATAACATTGTCGGTACTGATGACTGGCTGGAAAGACTATCTTGTTTGTGAACATATATCCTGGAAGAATTGGATACATTGCATATACAAATACCTAAACATACAATGTTTAAGATGAACTGCTTTTTTAAAATGAGTCTTAAAAGCTTATTAACAGGAAAAATACTTTTTTAAATTGAAAACTGCTTACAGTATAGAACTGTGAGCTGTTATGGCTAATGTCTGTGTACATTACAGGAAGTCTGATATCATGTGTTAATTTTACAGTTACTGTATATCTGTGGGGAAAAAATGCAGAGTGCGTTGCTAAGCAGGTTCAATTTCCTTGATATGTATGTAGGCTTAGGATACTGGTAACACAGCTTAGGAGCCAAACATATTTGAAATTTAGGGAAGTTGAGAGGGAAGTATTGAACAAACTGTAAATATAGGTTCCTTATACTGATACATAGTTACGTAGCTAATCAGTTGAATGTATTTTATTTTTCTTCTAAACTGTGTAAGAGTTGAAGTTGGCCTAAAAACAACCTTGCTTTTCCTGCAATCAGTTCTGTATCTATTCTAAACTCTGAGATACAGCATGAAGACAAATGGTGATGGTATCTGCCTATTCAGTCATTGGGAAGCTTTGAGAAACTCTGTGGAGTCTGTCCTAACTTAAGCAGCATAAACATATATATGTATATTTATATCTTATATATAAAAAGCCATTAATGACATATATATATATATATATATATATATATATATAGTTTATATATTAAATGTTAGTGTGTTCCCAAAGTTAGGGATTTAAAAGTGTCTGCTACTGAAACAAACTCACCAGCGTGTTCACACCTAATGCAAATATTTTAATACTGAAACATATTTTTCTTGTTTCATAGATATTGTCTTCCCAGCCCTTGACATTCTTAGATTGTCTGTCAGGCATCCCATTGTGAATGAGAACTTCTGTGGTGAAGAGGCTCACGTGCAATTTATCCATCTCCTTCTCAAATTTTTGAACCCTCAAGGAAAGCCAGCAAACCAGCTGTTGGCACTTAGAGCTCTTTGCAATTGCTTTGTCAGCCAAGCAGGCCAGAAGCTCCTGATGGAACAGAGGGATGAAATAATGACACAAGCAGTAGAAGTGAAATCAGGCAATAATAAGAATGTCCACATTGCACTTGCAACACTGACATTGAACTATGCTGTATGTTTACATAAAGTGAACAACATTGAGGGCAAAGCTCAATGTTTATCAGTTATCAGCACAGTTATGGAAGTTGTTAAAGATCTTGAAGCTGTTTTTAGACTCCTTGTGGCTCTGGGAACACTAATCAGTGATGATAAAAATGCTGTGCAATTAGCTAAGTCTCTTGGAGTTGACTCTCAAATAAAGAAGTATGTGTCTGTGTCAGAACCAGCTAAAGTAAAGGAATGCTGTAGGTTTGTTCTTAATCTGTTGTAATTGTTTTACTTAGCACTTGAGCAACACACCGTATACAGAAGAACGTATGCTTTTGTTCATATTTTGTGACAGAATATAATGGAGAAAATACTGTGGATGACTTAAACTTGATTTATTGTGAAGTACGGAGCAAATAAAACTTTTCACTCTCTTCCCTTGACTACTTTTCTGAAGTCTACTATGCAGAGCTGTTTCAGAAAGCCCTTCTGTTGTAGCTCAGATCAAAGCAGATCACCAAGTCAAAAAGTCTCATTCCTTAAACATTATCTAGACAGAAATGTAATGTAAGAGTTGTTTGTGATCCAGAGATGCCAGCTCCCTTGCTCATCCGACCATGTTTCCACATTTCAGTGCAATGACTGTTTCTTGACCATGCTGTTTGCCAGCAGAGAAAGGGTCCTGTTGATAGAGGGTCTGTTGAAAAGTCAACAAGTTTCACCAACTTGTTAATTAACACTGACTATACTAACTGGTCAAGTATGATAGTAAGGAAGTGACATGCACATGATTTCCACCATCTTTTTTCCACTTTTCCACTTCTTTTAAAACTTGGGTATCTTCTATCTTGTGTGGGTTTTTTGTTTTTTGGTTTTTTTTTTTTTTTTTAAATCTAGAGTTAAGTGACTTTTTGAAGAGTGGAATCTTGAACTGCTATATAGACAGTGCTTCAGTGGTAAATGTTTTTCAGTTTACAAAATTGCTTAAACAAGCTTCTTAGATTAACTTTTCTACTGATTTATAGCAAAACTCTTACTTCAAAATATGTTAGAATGCATTAGATGATAAAAAAACAAAATGAGACTATTTTAAGAGAATGTGGGAGGAACTTAAATGCAAGTAGTGTGACAGGCAATAGCAGAAACCAGTGAAGTCAAATTTTATGATTTCATAAAAATCACTGTGGTGTCTTTGAAAAGGGGAATTTACAAGTTCCTCCTTGTGTTTGTGTGGAAATCTTGCTTTCCAACATTTTCTTGTTGCTCCTTAATCTGTCACTGCTCACGTATGAAAAGAGCCTGTCCCCAAAACTCTTATACATCTGCCCTTTAGATATTCATAAGCAGTGATAGGATCTTTCCTCGGTCTTATCTCCTCCAGGCTGAAGAGAACCATGTCTCTGCCTTTCCTTGTACAGGAAATTTGTCAGGCTCCTAATCAGCTTCACAGATCCTAGTGATAGTTCTGTTACCCTGTGCCTGCTGGGGAATGAAAAACTGCGGAACTCCCACACATGTGCCACTGTTGTTTAGAGCTAGGATGGCCAAAGTTCAGTGTGACTTTAAAATAAGTAATTATATTACCAGAATGGAAATCATTAAAAAAAGGTCAAGTTTTTCCAGCACAGGAGTTCTTCATTGCAATACATGTCTGCATCATCTATGCCAGATTTTGTGACCAAGAGCTCTCACTTTTTCTGCTCCATCTCAGCTCAACTGCGTTGTGTTTCCAGCAAACTTGTTTGTCAGATGAGTACACATACTCAGCTCCATAGCTGCACACATCCTGCTGCAATTCTGATGAATTTTCAGATACATATAATCACAAACAGCCTTGATCAGGGCTTTCATCGTTGTCTCTCACTGCTGATCAATTGTGGGTACAAGTACAAGACAGATCATGGCATTACATGGGATTTAAACAGTTTACCAATAGATCAAACCACCCCTAGGAATCCATCCTAGAATGCTACCTTCAGGAAATACTTCGGTATTTCAGTTGCCTGTATACAATTGTTCTTGACCCTCCAGCTTCCACATGTTGTACTCTGTAGCTGTTTGTACAAGCGCTATTCTAAGAAATCTATACTCCTGTTTCGATTTTGTTACCGTGGTCTTTCTCTGTTACGTGAAAACCGCCCTGGTTTCACAGACCGAAAGCTATTTGTTCATAAACACACTCTGGAAATAACAAGAAAAGGTACATTAAAAGATCCAGCCCGGCATTCAGCACGCCAACACCAAAACCCTCGCAGAGAAACGGAAGGAGAAGGCGCTCAGGCAGCGGGGCGGGCAGCGGCACCCCGGAAAGGGCGGGCTGCGCGGCGGAAGCGGCAGGGCTGGGCCGGGCCGGGGCAGGGCGCTCCGACCGTCGCCGCCGCCCGGGGCGCGAGCGCGGGGTCATGCCGGGCCGGAAGGAGAAGAAGCGGCGGCGCTCCCGCTCCTGCTGCCCTGAGGGAGCGGCGGGCGGCGACAGGAAGCGGCGCAGCGCCGAGTCCGGTCGCGGCGCGCCGGAGGTAACGGGCAGAAAGCGGGAGAGATGGAGGGCGGGAGGGAATTCGCGCCTTGCCTTTCTTCCTCTGAGGCGTTCCGCGCTGTGACGGGGCTCCTCGGTGAGCGGCTCGTGTGGTCTCGTTGCAGGTCCGGGCTGACCTTCCTTGCGGAGATGCCTGTAGTTGTTTGGCAGCCTGTGAGTTAGTGGGAAGGGAGGTTTGTTTCTTTGTTTGTGTTGTCACCGCGCTGCTCCGTTTCGCTTAGCGCAGCAATTTTTGGTAACATCTTTTGTAATGCTCCCGAAGTTAAAACGGTGTTTGAAAACTCAGAATTCCATTTCGAGATGTCTTACGAGTGTGAAGCAAAAACCTGTCACTGTCGCTCTGGTGAAGTGTTGAGTTTCTGGAAGACGTGAAAGCTGTACTTGTCTTTTTGATTTCAGGAAGAAAAATGCAATGTGCCACCTGGAGAAAAACCAGAAGAATCCGAGCAACTCAGTGATGTAGAGGAAGGGGGATTAGATCTCAGCGTGTCTCTCAAACCAGTCAGTTTCTACATTGCAGACAAGAAGGAAATGCTTCAGCAGTGTTTCTGTGTCATAGGGGAGAAGAAACTACAGAAGATGCTGCCTGACATCTTAAAGGTACTGAAATGCCTTCTTGTGTGTACTTTACAGAAGCTTGAATGCTCATGTAGCAAAACACATTTCTTTCTCAGGTGTAGTGGACTTTCAGCTTAAAATTTGCCTATGTATTTCTTAAATAAAGATTACATCAAGTCTTAAAAAGGGAGACTTTTTAAAGGTTTCATGTGGTTGTTCCACAGCTTACTCTTTTTTTCTGTGCTGCTGTAACTGAACTGGGCAGCTATTTTTATAGCAGCCTGTCTGTACTTGTTATTCATATGTAAAAGGAGTTCTAATTGCATGGAATGAGTTCAGTCATGTTCAGTGGTAAGTATTCTGATGTGTTAATAAAAGCTTGACTTGCGTTTGAGCTATCCAAGTTTCTTAAAATAATAAAATCCTTTCTAGTTAAACAGCTTCTCGAAGCTGTTACTTTTCTGGGGTTTAATTGGAGTGCCTGTAGTATTTTATTGACTTAGAATGCTTTTTGACTGTTGTGAAGAGCAGGACTTGGTGAAAATAGAAAAGCAGTCTGTACAGAGAGGGAGGCTCCAAGTGAAGTGCTGTTTTTGTGCTGTTTTAGTTTAGTGTTAACTAATAGGTTTTCAATTTTTGTCTTATTTTTTCATTTTAATCTATAAGTCTATATTGGTATAAGTGAGGCAGGACAGACGTTTTAAGCTCAGTAAATTGCATGCAGTGTAACTCATTTCTTATCTGAGAGAAATGGAGTAGTGTGGTTAGAGGCAAAGGCATAACTGATGTGGAAAAGAAATTACACAGTAGTGTTGGGATGAAAGTGACAGTAAAATCGTGTGTTAGATCAGATGTTCAGCACTGATTAATTTTCGTACATGTAAATGGCGTTGTAGTTCATTTAGAAATGCAAAATTATCATTTCACCTTGAGGACACCAAGAAATACAAAATATGTGGAAGTAGCTGGAATATCCATAGGCTAAATAAATGTGTGATATCAAGCATGAGAAATGAATTTATGTATTTTTATGGCTTCATTTTTATGCTAAACCGTGATACGTAATTCCTCTTGGTGCTTTGTCAGTACCATTGTTGACTTCCATTTGTGAACTTGGACTCAACAATTGACTTTGGTTTTTGCAGGCTTAATTATGTAATTCACCTACTCCTGAATGACAGAAAAATACCGATGATCTGGGCTGCAATCAGTTTGGTCTTCCGTGCTTGAAACCTCTGTCTCATTATTTGTACTGATCAGTGTTACAGCTGCAGTGAGAAGTCCCAACAATCAAGTAACTAATACTGTGTATTGCTTGATTATTTATTTATTTATTTTTTTTGAGCAAAACACAAATGAACTGAAAATCCTCCACTGTTTTTGGTGGTTGTTACACCAAAATCAGCTACCTAATGTTTTTCACTAGTAACATCAGAGCAAGTTAGAACAGTGAATAGATTCTGAATTACTATGTAGGGCTAGAGATCTACTTAGCGTTTGTAATTATTCTTTCCTCAGAAATGTTTACTAGCCTGTGGCCTGTCTGTCTGTCTGTCTTCTTAGAGCTGTTCCATGGATGAAATCAAAAGGCTTTGCTTGGAGCAGTTGGAGATGTTGTCTGAAAAAAAACTGTTGAAGATACTTGAAGGTATGAATGAAACTTTTAGGCACCACTGTACACAGAGCATAAGGAAAGCAAAAGTAGTCTGCCTTTAACTGCGCCTGTGTTTCCAGGTACTGCTATGTATGTATAAATATATGTATGTATATGCTATTTAATCCTTTTAATCCTGGGTAAAAACATCCAGTAATTCTGAAGGTGTTAGGGACATGTTCAAAAATGACTGTGTAATGTTCCTTTCCATAGTACCCAAACTAAGAACAAAAGTTTTGGCTTGAATGTGATGAAGCAAAGCCAGGAATTCGGAAGAACTGTTTGGAGTCCATTACTTTGGGTAAACTAATGTTAAGTTACCTCCTAGTTCTCTGCAAGGGAAGTCTTGTATTCCACAATACCAGATCAACACTATTAACAGTTGCACTAGATTATTCAGGGTAGTTAAAGAATTCTTGGTGCGTGTCACTGCTCTGCTGAGACACACAGTTCATACATTTTTATTACGGGTATGATGTTGCAGTGTTTCAGTATCTTCCTGGATTTCCTCTTAGTTTCTAAGGTCTCCAGAATTTATTGTTATTGTCTTCTCAATCAAGTGGAACAGTTGAATCCTGAACAGTAGAAAGTTCCTTGTACTACTTATATCTCCTGTGCTTTATTCTTATTGCCTATCATATTGTGGTACTGAAAAATGTATAACTGAAAAATGTTAATCATGTGTT